TGCTGGCTGGCTTTGATCTATTTTCGATTTAGATTTAGATTTAGCAACCGGTCCTCGTGTGCGACCCCGTGTTACGACGATCCGTATCCTTGTGGTGAGTTGTGAATCGGGTTATAGATTTTAGACTCGGTACACACGTAACAAGTTTTTGGCGCCGTTGCCAGGGACTAGTTAGCCTATTTCTAGGTCTTTATCGATTTTAGATCTTGCTTGTGTATATATTGAATCGTGTCTTTTTCGAGTCTTTTTGTGTGTATAGTTGAGTCGTGTCCTATATATAGTTTTTGTTTTCTAACCATCTACACTAGTTTGTTCTCCCCCTTACTATGATTACAGGTGACGAGAACATCTACAACAATTGGGAGGCGATTTGGGAGATTACTCGATTGCTAAATGAAGAAGAAACGGAACATGAGTCTATCTCCCATACACTTGAGACTGATCGGGCCACAACAAGCGCGGGTGACTTCTTCCAGAAACTTGACTCAGACCGTATCACATGCAACTCGGACCATGTCAGTTTCTCAGACGATAGAAAGCGGCTAGAAGATGTCATCCTCCGGCCAGTAGAAACAAGTAAGCGTCGTTTTAATAATCACATACTTGGTTTTTACTCTTTCATTGCAGATGATCAAGCATGGATGACACATGTGGAGAAATCAGAGTATGTGAGACACCCGCATAGACCACCGCCCCGACCTCCAGATTTATCACTCTCAGACCCTCCCATCATTTGAGCAAGATAGGTCGAGCTAATGACGTTAAACAAGCGCTTCTCGGGAGGCAACCCGAGCACTAGGTAACTTTTCTTTTCTTTTTATTTTTTTAGCATAGGTAGTAGAGACCATGAGTGTATTTTGGATCTTTCGGAATGCATTGCTATTATTATGCTTTTGTTCGGATAACGTTTGTTGTTTTATGAGCGTTTATACCGGCACACGAGAGATGAGCATCAACTTCCGAGAGACAACGTTGTATAGGTTCCAATTCACAGAGTGTGTGAGAGCTCTTGCGTTTGACGTGAGTTAACTTCATTGCGAGCGAACGAATTTCGCAGAGCTAAGTTTCTCTATCCCTCTTATTGGTTCTTTGCATACGTTGTTTTAGATTCTACTTTTCCGGACGAGAGTCTATACCGTGGACGGTGTATGGTTCAAGTCTGGGGGGGGGTGGATAGATCCTTCCTACATTCAGGTCTATCTATGTAGGATTGCATTTAGTTTAGGTGCATTTTATCATAGCATATAGACTTATTGTTGTTTGGAACCTACGGAGTTGAAACGACTATATCCAGGTTACATGTTTCGTTTAGAACCTTTTCCGAGTCTTGTAGGTCGACAGAATCTAGTTCAACAAACGTCTTGGGAAAATAAAGCATCTCGACACTCCGCTGTCAGAATCTCGTCAACGAAAATCGTTTGAGGACATGAGTGCATCGATCGATGGTTCGGATCTAAGTTGTGGGTCGGACGTCGTATAAAAAGAAAAAAAAGAGAGAAAAGAGAGAAAAGAAATCCGAAAAAAAGGGAAAGAAAAACGATGTCCCTCAACTTCAACGTCCTAGAAACCCGAGATGCCAGCGTACGATAGGGAGATCCTACAAAAAGGTAAAAATCCAAGTACAGAGTAGAACTAAGATCGAGAAGGCTAAGTTGAGATGAGGATAGGTTCGGAAATAGGCTTGGTAAGTTGTAGAGATTTTAATGGGTTTTAGGTGGCAATAAAAATCCCATGGCTAGGTAGATTAGTCTTTGGTAGAAAGATCATAGTAGACCGGTTTGGGTACGACTCTCAGGAAACTGGAATTGGATGGATGTTGTGCTTTAGAATCTCATGATGATGCTATTTGAAAGGTGATAATTATTTCTACTGGACGAAGGCTGCTACTGCAGCCCTCACTAGTCGAGATTTATGGGAGCATGTTTCATCTGAGCAACCGGTCTTTTCCCCACACGAAGTGGCAATTGAAGGAGAGACACCGGAGCAGATTCAGCAACGCCTCACACAGCATCAACAAGCTGTTCTTGAAATCAACAAATGGAAACAGGAAGATAGCCAAGCATTAGTGATTCTTCAAGGCTCGTTAGATTCCAATATCCTGCAGTCTTTCATTTCTCATGGAAATGCCCTACCTTTGAGTGCGGTTTGAACTATTTGATCTAATAGAATAGAAAATCCTGTATAGAAAGATATCGCGTGTAACTTTATAGGTATAAGTCTAGCACAACAAAATCACTTTGGGAAGCTTTGAAGCGTGTTTACGGCAATCTCTCCAATGTTAGCCGAATTTTTGAGTTGAAAAGAAAACTCTTTCACCTCCAGCAAACCGATCAACCCTTCAATAAGATTCAAGGGGAGTTTTGTGCATTGTGAGCTGAATTGGAGGAGATTCGGCCAACATCCATAGATCCACATACTGTCATGGAGAGGGCTCAAGAAGACAAGGTTTTCTCGCTCCTCTCCACTCTTAATGCTTCTTATAACAATCTGGTTTATCATGTGTTAAGACAAGCTAAGCTACCCACCTTCGACGAGCTGTGATGATCACAAGGGAAGAAGGGGGACGCAATCTATTCACTGGTCCTCTTGAACTAGCGCAATATGCTCATAACCCCACCGCTGCGAGATCCTCTTCCAAGGAGCACAAACCCTTTCATTGTGATCATTGCAAGCGTACCGGGCATACAAAGGATCGCTGTTGGATACTCAATCCTCACTTGAAACCTCCCCGGTACAAAGAAAATCCAAGACGTGGATCAGCAATGACTGTCGGACATGATCCCATGACAACCGAGAACAACATAAGTCTCACAAATGACGAATTGAAAGGGCTCAAACACCTCCTGCAATCCATCCACAAGGATTCTGGTAACTTTATTTGTCACTCTTCTATAATCATTGATTCGGGTGCCACCACCCATATGTTTTGTGATTCTGATTGGTTTGAAAACATTGCACCAAATCATGGTGTTGTTTCGGTTGCCAACGGTAAGAGTGTAGCTATTAAGGGAGTTGGACAAATTAAACTCTTTGATCGTGAACTCACATCTTTATACATACCAGATTTTCATGCTAATCTCCTTTCTGTTCCTAAACTTGTTGAAGATTCTTCTTGTCGTGTTATATTCGACTCTAATGGTGTCTCATTTCAGGATATTGACTCGGATTGTGTTTTTGGCAAGGGAACACGTACGGGCAACCTGTTTTATCTCGAAGATTTTCATTCTAGCTTTCTTTCTGTTTCCCCTAGTGTGTGGCATGCTCGATTTGGACATCCACATTCTAAGGTCTTTCGTTTACTTGTTCCCCACGTTAAGACATTTGATCACTTATGCGAGGCATGTAGTTAGGGAAACACTGTCGTACGGTTTTTCCAGACTCTACTACTATCTATGAGACTGTTTTTGATTTGGTTCACTCGGATGTATGGACTGCTCCTTGTTTTTCTCGTGATAAT